ATACATATGTCCCAAGTTGGAAGAAGTCATTTCCGCGAGATCTGTTTAAACAAGTTTTCTTAGAAAATATAATTTTGTTTTTGCTGCTTATGGTGATACTAATCGACACTGACTTCTGTGAGACAAATGATAATAAAGGAATACAATAGTAATTAAAGCACGCAGATTTAATTAATTAGATGGAGATGGGATCTTTTGAGTAACATCTCACAATTAATACGTACCCACTCAGTTGAAACTAGTTTAGAAAGTGATGTTCGTAATTGGGAGATGTTCTTGAGTTAACATCTTAAACCAACTCATAATGGGACATTCGTCCGGATGCGGCAGTGCTAGAGACCATTCCGATTTCCGGAAAACTCCCACTACCTGTGGGAGACTTAGAACCCCTGTACATGTGCATTACTGTATACCAAAGAATAGAGATGCTTTTCAGATTAAAGGGAAATTTGAGCTGTCAAAATTTTTGAATAAAAATACATTTCTCGAGTAACAGATTGTCCAACATTTGTTTGTATAACTGTAGTCATATTATAGAGTAAAATTATACGAGTGCAACAGAGTAAAGAAAGTTGCTACCAATCAAATCGTCTAAAAGCCACAGTAGTGTACTTGGTTAAGTTTTCACTTTAAATTCCAACTTTTTTACTTTCCCTGTACAAAATAAATTTTTTTTTTTTTTATAAAAATATATATATTTTTTACTGTATGTTTATATTTTGTTTATAACTACCTGCATTTTATCAACTTTTATAGCGAAATTCTTTTATCTGAGGACCAAAATCGTGAACTTGCAAAGTCTAGTGTAATTTATGGTACAACACTCTGGAACAATCTACCCGAAGATATTAAAACTCTCTCATCTAGAAAAAATTTAACTTTTAAAGTTAAAGAATACCGTACCTATTAGCAATGTATGTCTTTTAATTATAAGAACATCGTTATTTATTTAGAGCTCTTTTCATAGCACATCAGTGATATCAAATTGTGTATTATTGTTTTTATTTGTTATTATTATTATTACAGACATTTAAATTATTATTATATATCTAATGATCATTGTTATTACTTTGACTTTGATACTAATTCAGTTTATAATTTCTATGCCAAAACTTGATAAGCAAAAGCTACTTTTTGGTCTTTTTGCTTTTATTGTATTTTGAATGTATACTTTGATTTGTGACAATAAAGTGAAATATAATATTTTTTATCTGAAAGTATCCAATTTTTGGAAAGAAGGCTATCACTCAGCATTTCAGTTACTTTTAGTCATAGAGAGTTTGTTTTGGTACAAAACTGTTTGGAAGGCCAAAGTTTTTATTTGCTATAATGGAATATTTCCCTCTGAATGTAGAATCTTGATTTATGTCTTAAATTATTCACAATTCTTTTCAACATATTAAAGGAAGGGATAGAAATCATACCACGGTCACATGTACAGCTCGAAAATATGTAAATTAGAAATGAAATAAAGGGTCCCCATATCTTGGCAGTGCATGGTCACCAAGGTGATCTGTAATTGTAGGTGTCTGTAATTAGAGGAGGACCTGCGTTAATTTGAGACCACTTTTTCGAAGTACCAACTGATCATTTATTTACAGTGAGCTTGAACGTGACCACCGTTAATGAAGCACCAAGTGACAAAATGACCTCCAATTCAAGACAACATTTAAAAATGAAATCAAACTTGAGTAGTTTTAAGTTTGTTTTTTAACAATAAATGCTCTTTAATTTGAAAAACTGAACTTCAAAATTATAACAGATGTATTTTCATAATTTATCCATATAAATAAAGGTTTCTTTAGCGTATTATCTTTGAAAAAGCTAGTTTTTAGAAAGAAAAGACATTTTTAGCTTTAGGCCACTGGATGTCATGATATATTCATTAAATGTTTTACAACAAACTGTTGGCACTTATTGCCAAAAAGTGCTGTTGAATCAGCTGCTTATCCCTAATTTGGTACAGTAGTATGTTTCTGATTTCCTTCTTTAGCCATTCAATTGCTGCATTATCCCCCGCCCATATGTCATGGGGTAGGAGAAGTCCCTGCTAAATGTTTTCCCCTATCAAAGATACGTAAATAATTAAAACTAAAAGCAGAAATAATTTTTTATAATATATATATATATATATATATATATATATAATAATATAACTACAACAGTTATTGGGGGAAATTATTGGATCTTAAACAGGTAAAAATGTAACATGGTATCATCCAAAGATTTGTAAGAAGAGTGTCATCTGAGTGTTTCCCGGGTATTTGCTTTAATATGTGAAAAGAAGTGGATATCCAGCCCAATAGCTAAAAGGGGAGTGGGGAAGGCAGCGTCGTTGCTAGTTGTGAAAGGGCCCCCAGTCCCAGATTAATTGTCGGGCCTTTGATGTAATAGGGGATTTACCTAGTTTTCAGAAAATTCATAGTAAGAAGTGCATTTTTTACCCCCTACTGCTAAAGGCCTAGATTAGAAATAAATACAATTGATCATTCAATTCGTAACTATTTTAAAAGGGGCATATTCAGTCTCAGCAGCTGTTCTAAACTTGTGATTAAAAAAAAAAAAAAACCGTGGCAGGTAAAATTAAACAATTGCTGTCGAATAGAATTCGAATAGAGCTGCCAGGGAGGAAATTTCACAGTTGGAGGAGGGAGACCATCTTATCCCCACTATAATTGGGGTAGAGGTAAGAAAATTTATGATTATAGCACCCCTAGATGGCCAGATATGGTACAATCAGACTCATAATATAATGACTATAATTTTCTTTTCCCAATTTTTTTTATAATTTTGAAAAAATAGGGGATCCCTCCCTCTCTCGCAATCAATGAGTCTGGCAAATTTCAGATACACAGGAGTGGTCTCAAATTGGAGGGCGGACTGTAAAGACAGTAATCACTAACCCTAGATGCAAAAAGCCAGTGAATAGTTGCTTAGATTAGAGCCAGTATTGTATAGTATTTATATTATGAATGTATAATGTATTTTTAAGAAAGGTTTTATTAAGCAATTTCTTCTTTTGGAGATAATAAAATGACTCTGATCCAGTATATTTATTCACACCACTCACCACCACACTCCTTCCCAACACTCACTGAGCAAAAAAATAGATAATAAATCAGCAATGAAGAAATATTGATACTATATTGTCGAAATCATCAGAGGCATAGTTTGGTTAGTACAGGCCCCAGTACAAAATTAATTACCAGGCTCTCTGATGTGAAGCAAAGGCCCCAGGATATCTTCGCTGCCCGGGCCAATTGGTTGGAGGTCTGTGGGGCCGCCTAAGGTCTCAGCGGGATCAATGGGCAGATCCCTGGTGCCCCCACCCCATATTCTACAGCCTTTTAATGAATTAGAGGACTAATTTAATTGATTATAGAGTGCCTGATTTCACCAGGTCATGAAAATAAAGTATAGAAACATGAAAATTAAGTAAAAGCTATCCTTCCTTTTATTCAAATGCGCTCTCGGCGCCACTGTATGAAGCATCAACTGAGGGCCGCAGCCCTGACTTATGGTTAGTGGGAATGCTTGGAGATGTCTGTTTCCTTGATGAGGTATGGGGAACACCAAAAGCCTCAAAATTTTTAATTTTCAGAGGCCAATTTTTCATTTAGAGAATAAAAATTGTAGGACGAGGTATACTGAATCATGTTTTCAGAAAATTAATTTCTTTAACTGCAAAAAAACTGGTGGCATATAAAATTAAACAATTTTAAGGTACACAGTAATTAGTTATTACTTCTTTAAAAAATTGAAATATGTTATTTGGGGGCTTACTGGCGGTTATTTCTTTAAAAAGTTGGAAATGATTTTTAGCCTTAAAAGCCCTGTGCCACAGTGCTTTGCACTGGCTGCACTGTCATCCCTACGTCACAGGAAATCATTGTCCCTAATGTCAATGCATTTAAATTCAAACATGACTTGTTTATTTATTGATCATCAAGTATTGGGCAATGGGAAATGACACTGTTACATCACAGGACTGAACATTGTAAGAGGCCTTAGTTTAGTAACAAAGTCAAGACTGCAATTTCCTACTGTATAATTCAGTTTTAGGGCATTAAGCAACAAACATACAGTACCATAATTTTTAGGTTTCTTATTTTATGAATAATACCTTTTAATCAAACATTCACCTCACTCAGCACATCATACAATCAAATTTGACGCAAAAAATATATTTTAAAAAAACACTGCCTGCAAATTCAGGTACAGATTAGCAATGATAAAGAAGGCATGGATACATTATTAGCAGTGTGCTACTCACTTATCTATTCTCAAACTGCTGTGCCCCGCTGTTTTATTCGTCTCAAAGCATTAAAATTGACAGTAAAGGAAACAGCAAAAAACAAGCACAGGACACCCCAAAAGTGAACTTAATCAGTGTCGAGTAGGGCCCTTCACAAAAAAAAAAAAAAAAAAACACAACACAAGAAACAACCAAATTCTTACAGTATATAAGTTTTTTTTTAAATATATAATCATTTAAACTTCAAAATTTAAAAAAATTCTATATTACAATAAGCATAATTAATTTAAAAGTTTTGCATTTAAAATAAAAATTTTCAGATGATTCAATAAAAATTACTTCAAAATTCAAATTTAAAAAGCTAAAATACATATAATCAATCTCAATAATTCTTTATTGTCCACTCATATAAAACAGAAATGTAATTTGAACTGGCATACATTTACAAATTTAAACAACAAAAGCAAAAACACAACATCATCAAGTAAATAGTTACTTAAATTGCACGATAACAATAAAAATATATATGATTCATTCTATAAAAATGATTATGTACAAATATGAATTCTTAGTAACTCTCATTAATATAATTATTGCACTAATAATGAAATTTATTTTTTCAGTATTAAATTATATAATTAATGTTGCATGTCTTAATAATAATTGCACAATAATATGCCTTATTCATTAAAAATACCTCATACAGAAATTAATTACTACTGTACTTTTTTATGTATTATAACTAAAAATTATTAATATTATATATTATATTAACAAGATTAAAATTTTACATCATTAAGATTTTTTTTAAATAATTACAAAATTAAGATATTATCAAACAATAATTAAAATTACCCTCATTTACCTATTGACCTTGGAGATGTATATATGAGTTGAGTTTGGTATAAAAGAATTGCTAAAACGTTTTGTCTTTGTTCGTGGTGGTAGTAGTCTCAGACCAGAGTTAGCAACCACAAAATTATCATATAGGGGTGGATTCCATCACACATAATGCTATTGATTTTCTTCCTAACTTGTTCAATATACAATATTTCAATATCAATTAAATTTTCACATATCAATTTGTTTGCTCTCTTATTTATTTGATTAAGGATCTTTTTATCTTTCTGCATGATGTTACCACAATACCAAATGAAACAGTACACTACAACACTGCGGATTACACTGTGGATTACACTGCGGATTACCCAGACATAAAAAAGTTTAAAGTATGGTACTATCAATATCGAGATATTTCATTTTCTTCAAGATTCTTATTCCATTTTCATTTATCATCAATTACACAGCCAAGCTATTTTAATATTCTTGAACCCTTTCAATGATATAATTTCTGGTGGATCTGGTTTTTTTCCTGAAGTCAATAACCATTTCTCTTGTTTTATCTACATTCAATTTTAAGTTATTATGACACCAGTCTGTGAAATCCTGCCCTAATTTCCAATACATTGTTTCATTAGATCCTGTGTGATATAGCCTGAGATGGCCGTGTCATCTGCATGTTTAATTATTAAACGCTGCTAAGAATTAGCCCTAAACTTGCTGGTGAAAAGCGAGAACAACACTGGGGATATAACTGATCCTTGAGCTCTTTTCTCAGGAAGAATATCATTTACTTTTACATACTGTACTGGGGCCTGTTCATCAAGAAATCATATATCCATAAAGTGAGAGTGTCATTTACATTCATTTCCTTAAGATTCGGTACAAGTAATTCTGGGTCAACTGTACTGAATGCATACTTGAGAAATCAATATAGAGGCACCTTACATAAGACCGTGGTGCATCTAAATGTTGATAAATACTGTATTAATGAAAGAGAACAGCAACTTCTACACTTCCGTTACTTCAATAGGCAAATTGTAAAGGGTCTAGAAATAATTGTGTTTGGCCAAGCAGTGGCCTTAGGACAATTCTCTGAAGATACTTTATAACATCAGAGGTACTGAAATAAATATATCAAAGCAATTAGGAGCTATTCATCACAATTAGGTTGGCTAACATGAACTTTGAGTCACCAACACTCCCGCGATTTATTGACGGTTTAAAAGAAAAAATGTAGGATTACTCAATATAAAATTTGTTATTTTCTGCAGTAAAGATTGAAAATAAATTCTTAATTGTTAAATGTAAGTCAGATCTGTTGTATGTGTACACATTAGACCTACAGCAGGTACATATTTTTGCACGATATCATACATGTTAGCCATTAGCAGCCTGGGCCAGCTGCACGTAGTCTGTTTACAATACAAATTTGCATTGGTCAGGTCTAAGTACCAGACATTTTTAAAGACTAGGGCGCACAGCCATCAGTTGATTAGTTGAGTTGGACGACATGAAATGTCTGGACTTCAAGGCTAGTAATTACTTTCTAGTACGAATATGAACAACAGCCAAAAAGGCCTAGTCTATTTCGTTTGTGTGTGTGGGGAAGCCAATCTAGACAGACCAAGCAAGGGTAGTTAATTTGGAATGTAAGGTTGTTAAGTAATTAGAAAATCATTCACTTTTAAGTGATGGAGATAATGTGCATACAAAATCCAATTCTTGTAAAACTGGAGTTAAAAATTGAGGGTTTAGGGCCTATAAATGAATCATTTTACTCTTTCAAAAATGTTGCCGTCTCAGGGATTCTATATAAGGAATTTATCCCCTCGGCCCATGCTCAGAGTTATATGCTTTTCTTTTGTTGAGAGGTAAGCAATTTTATTCATTTTGCAATAGATGAAATGAGGATGTGTCACGCTGTAAAATATTCCCCCTGTAAAATATTAGGGTCAGAAATCCGACGCTGCATTTTGAAAATATGAACTGATTTCCACAGATATTTTGCAGACATTTTGGGATACCTCCATGATAGTGGGAACACAAGTATTTATGATTCTGAGCCTCTATTTTTCTAGGGGTTTTCCCGTGCAATTTGAATTAGATTTTTGTATCCTCCGGAGAAAAAAACCAATTTGAAGTTAGTATTATAATTGATTAAAATTTGCAAACGAGTACACACGTAACGGTATGGCCACCCCACCCTCACTCCACCCAAATAACGTCATAAAACACAGTCCTGTCAGCGTATGGCTGAGAACCTGTGTATCGTGGGAATCAGCCATGCCTATGAAATATTTACTTGCAGTTGTAGTGTTGACGACTTTTAAACATGCAATAAGCAAACGATCAACAAACTCCTACATACATAGAATATTATTGTTTATTTTATTTGAATTTCTCCATATTATACATTATTAAATTGTTTGCAAATTAAAAACAGAAAGAAAAACATTTTTGCGTGATCAAATGCAGTATGCATGTAGACCTATTAATTAGCAAAAATACAGTACTTTACTTTTGTGTTAGTTTTTATGATTATTGTGCAATAATTTGGGACAAGTACAATTGTCTTCAGGACAAGTGCATTTTTCAAAGGCACTTGTCCGGGGACAAGTGAAAAATATGAAATTCCCTCATGCCTGACAAGGATACAAATTTAAAAAATCCCCAAATGTTAATAAGAATTATTAGCACTGATATACAGCTACTGTAATTCCAACTTCATTCTTCCATTGAAACACTCTCTGTAATCATATCATTAATTGCACTTACTTGACTGTTACACTTCCAACTCGACTCCCCTCTTAGAACACTCTCTAACCATATCCTTTTTAATATTACCTGATAGACTGCAACTCCTCAGGTCAAGATTCTTTAGTTGAGGTGTAATGAATAAGGATGCAAAAGAAAAACCATCAATGTTACTGAGATTATTACCACTCATATCAAGGAACTCTATATTAAACTTAACTCTTCTAATAGAACACTCTCTAACCATATCATTTACAGTATCACCGGACAGACAGCAATTGTTCAGGTAAAGCATGTATTCAGTTTACGTGTAATGAATAAGGATGCAAATGAAGACCCATCAATATTACAGAGACTATTACTGTACCACTGATATCAAGGAACTTTAATTTCAACTTGACTTCTCTACTAGAACACTCTCTCACCATATCATTTATAATATCACCTGATAAACTGCAATCATTCAGGACAAGCACATTCAGTTTAGGTGTAATAAATAAAGATGCAAATGAAGAACCATCAACAGTACTGAGATTATTACTACTGATATAAAGCTGCTGTAATTCCAACTTGACTTCTGTACTAGAACATTCACTAACCATATAATTTATAATATCACCTGACAGACTGCAATTCCTCATGTTCAGAGTACTCAGTTTAGGTGTGATGAATAAGGATGCAAATGAAGACCCATCAATATTACAGAGCCTATTACCACTGATATTTAAGAACTTTAATTTTAACTTGACGCCCATACTAGAACACTCTCTAACCATATCATCTATAATATCACCTGATAGGATGCAACTTTTTAGATGAAACACATTCAGTTTAGATGTAATAAATAAGGATGCCAATGAAGCACCATCAACTGTACTGAGTTTATTACTACTGATATAAAGCTGCTGTAATTCCAACTTGAATCCTCTACTAGAATATACACTAATCATATTATTTATAATATCACCAGACAGACTGCAATTACTCATGTTCAGAGTACTCAGTTTCGGAGTGACAAATACGGATGCGAATAAAGAGACATCAATGCTACTGAGATTATTACCACTGATATCAAGCTTCTGTAATTCCAACTTGACTCCCCTACTTAAACACTCTCTAATCATATCATTTATAATATCACCGGACAGATTGCAATCGCTCAGGTCAAGCATATTCAGTTTAGGAGTAATGAATAAGGATGCAAATGAAGACCCATCAATTTCACTGAGATTATTATCACTGATAATAAGCTTCTTTAATACCAACTTGACTCCTCTACTAGAACACATTCTAACACTATCATTTAAAATATCACCGAACAGATTGCAAGTCCTCATGTTCAGAGTGCTCAGTTTAGGAGTGATGAATAAGGATGTAAATGAAGACCAATCAATGTTACTGAGATTATTATCACTGATATTCAGCTGCTGTAATTCAAACTTGATTCCTCTACTGGAACACTCTCTAACTATATCATTTATAATATCACTGGACAGACTATAATTGATCAGGTTAAGCACATTCAGTTTAGGTGTAATGAATAAGGATATGAATGAAGAGACATCAATGTTACTGAAATTATTACCAAAAATATCAAGCCTCTCTAATTCCAACTTGACTCTTCTACTAGAACACTCTCCAACCACATCATTCATAGCACCTGTAAAATCATATGAAAATAAACGTTTAAGTTGTGGTGCATTGGTAAACAGATGGACTACACATGAAACTGTACTTGAGTTTGACAATGTATAGTTTGTTATATTATATTTGAAATTCAGTTTCTGGTATTCAGCTGTTAAGTATGAAGTATCATCAGCAACACATATTCTACAAATTATTTCTTCGAAAAAAAGTAATTGTAAATCATATGGCACAACAGCAATCATTATGTGGGCAAGCATTCTGCCTTTTTCTTTAGACGACAATCCTCTACAAATACGATCAATGTGAGTTACCACTTTTTCATTCATTTTTGAATGTTGATTTGGAAATATTTTGGAGTTATCAATTTTTCTCATAAGCTGTATGAAATGCTCATTTTGATTGAGCTCTATATTGGGAATGATGTAACTGATAATTAATGTTCTTACTGATTTACAAATGCCATAAATATGTGGCTTTATTTCTAAATCCGTCATGGTCATGTGATCAATAACTGCCTTTTCTACAGTATCCATGTGCTCTTCTTTAACAAATTTTAAGTGTGTCATTAAAGAATTATATGTTGAGACATCATTAGTTATAAATCCAATTGTAAACACCCTTGCCATGTGAAAATATTCACTTCTTATTATCATTTGCCATTCATTACCAGCCAATGGCTTAAGTAGCATTTCCATGCCTTTTGAACACTCATTCTCCAACATTTCTGTCTGACATAGTTTGGATAAGTAAAACCCTACTAATGACTCTACTATCAACTTGTGAGGAGTTGCAAAAATCTCTTCAAAATCTGATATTAGATTTGGTGTATCTTCGTACACAAATCCCAGTTTTAAAGCCAGTGCAATCATTTCTTGTGGTCCTTCCAAATCTCTTTTGTTAATTGAAAGTCGGTTTTTCTTTAAGCTTTCATAGAAACACTTTCCTACAGAAGCAATGCCTTGACATACTCCTCTGGAGTATTTTCAAATATTGAGACTTTTTGCTGTTTGTCTCCCGGCTGTTTGTCATTGAACTGATTCAAAATGCATTTAAAAATCTCTTTGAAGAGGTCAGCCTTATCAGCTGGAAGGTGTTCATTTTCTTTCCACATGATACATACTAACAGAAGCAACATTGGATTCTTACACATATCATATACTTCCTGATGTTTTTTTCTAAAAATGGGTAGGGAATCAAGCTCCAACTCCTTAATAAGCAAGTCTCCTAATTCAGGTTTGTTAAAATAATCAAATTGTTTCTCAATGTATTTTTGTATACTATCACTATCAAATCCCTGTACTTTCACATGTACATTGCTATATTTAATGAACTCATTGAGGTTTTCAGATCGTGATGTAAGTATCACTTTACACTTATACAATTTTTCATCTTTAAAAATGCATAATGGACTCTCACTACCATATTTCAATTCATCCAATCCATCCAATAACAATACAATATCATCATGTTTTAGAAATAAATTGTTCTATTAATTCACAATTTTGAGGAAGTTTCGTTTCAAGATGAAAATTCTTAAGGTCCATTTGTTTCAAAATAGCATCCAAAATAGTTTTACCTTCATTGATATCTCTTATATTGACAAAAAACAATATTTTACCTTTGAAGGTTTCATCTGATTGTTGTGTGGACCATCTATATGCTACATACCTGAGGAGGGTTGATATGCCAATACCACCCTCACCTTCTATTAGAACTTTACATGCAGGTGTTGATTTTATAATATCTAAAACCTTCTTCAACATTGTTGGCTTGGCATCTTCCTTCTGTCGGTTTTTACCTTCTTTTAGTAAGTCTAGGTCAGTGAACATGTCAGCAATATCTAAATGGTATGCAGTATTCCAAGTTGCTGGTGTAAAACATTTGGCATTGCGGCACACTCTAAGTTGTCTACTTAGTAGATATTCTCTAATGACCTTGTCTGTAGAAAAGATGTTTACATAAACTGTTAATCAACTTGTGATTTCAAATGGAATGGAGCTCAACCACTGCAGTAACATCACTTCATTTAATGTCTACATTTTCCTGTTTTTTTAGACATGATTTATGAGCAACTGATCAGATTTTTATAAAACATTTCAAGTCAACTTCATTCCACACCAAGTGCAGGTGTTTGTTGCACTATTCTATATAATAAAGTGCAGAAAGACTGAACCTAAACAGAAAATATACTTATCAAAGACAATGATAATTATTATAAACATAGTATGTAAAAAAAGGAGGAAGAAGCAAAAATATCAACTTTTAGTTATAAAAGTGTACAATTTGCCCGTTTTTGGTCAAATTTGGTACTTAAATCCAAAATTGAGTGTGGTACAAGTCCTGTCTCTTATACACATCTATGCTCATTTTGTAGTTATCCAATGACTCAAAAATATGCCAGACTTGGCACCCAGGAATCCAATTGTAAACACCCTTGCCATGTGAAAATTTTCACTTCTTCTTATCATTTGCCATTCATTATCAGCCAATGGCTTAAGCAGCATTTCCATGCCCTTTGAACACTCATTCTCCAACATTTCTGTCTGACATAGTTTGTATAAGTAAAACCCTACTAATGACTCTACTATCAATTTGTGAGGAGTCGTAAAAATATCTTCAAAATCTGATATTAGATTTGGTGTATCTTCATACACAAATCCCAGTTTTAGCGCCAGTGCAACCATTTCTTTTGGTCCTTCCAAATCTCTTTTGTTAATTGAAAGTTGGTTTTTCTTTAAGCTTTCATAGAAACACTTTCCTAACAGAAGCATTGCCTCGACATACTTCTCTTGAGTATTTTCAAATATTGAGATTTTTTGCTGTTTGTCTGCCTGTTTGTCAATGAACTGATTCAAAATGCATTTAAAAATCTCTTTGAAGAGGTCAGCTTTATCAGCTGGAAGGTGTACATTTTCTTTCCACATGATACATACTAATAGAAGCAACATTGGATTCTTACACATATCATATACTTCCTGATGTTTTCTTCTAAAAATGGGTAGGGAATCAAGCTGCAACTCCTTAATAAGCAAGTCTCCTAATTCAGTTTTGTTAAAATAATCAAATTGTTTCTTAATGTATTTTTGTATACTATCACTATCAAATCCCTGTACTTTCACATGTACGTCGCTATATTTAATGAACTCATTGAGGTTTTCAGATCGTGATGTAAGTATCACTTTACACTTATACAATTTTTCATCTTTAAAAATGCATAATGGACTCTCACTACCACCTTTCGATTCATCCAATCCATCCAATAACAATACAATATCATCATGTTTAGAAATAAATTGTTCTATTAATTCACAATTTTGAGGAAGTTTCGTTTCAAGATGAAAATTCTTAAGGTCCATTTGTTTCAAAATAGCATCCAAAATAGTTTTACCTTCATTGATATCTCTTATGTTGACAAAAAACAATATTTTACCTTTGAAGGTTTCATCTGATTGTTGTGTGGACCATCTATATGCTACATACCTGAGGAGGGTTGATTTGCCAATACCGCCCTCACCTTCTATTAGAACTTTACATGCAGGTGTTGATTTTATAATATCTAAAACCTTCTTCAACGTTGTTGGCTTGGCATCTTCCTTCTGTCTGTTTTTACCTTCTTTGAGTAAGTCTAGGTCAGTGAACATGTCAGCAATGTCTAAATGGTATGCATTATTCCAAGTTGCTGGTGTAAACCATCTGGCAGTGCGGCACACTCTCAGTTGTCTACTTAGTAGATATTCTCTAATAACCTTCTCTGTAAAAAAGATGTTTACATAAACGTTAATCAACTTGTGATTTAAAATGGAATGGAGCTCAACCACTGCAGTAATATCACTTCATTTAATGTCTACATTTTCCTGTTTTTTTAGACATGATTTATGAGCAACTGATCAGATTTTTATAAAACATTTCAAGTCAACTTCATTCCACACCAAGTGCAGGTGTTTGTTGCACTATTTTATATAATAGAGTGCAGAAAGACTGAACCTAAACAGAAAATATATTTTTCAAAGACAATGATAATTATTATAAACATAGTATATAATGTAAAAAAAGGAGGAAGAAGCAAAAATATCAATTTTTAGTTATAAAAGTGTACAATTTGCCCGTTTTTGGTCAAATTTGGTACTTAAATCCAAAATTGAGTGTGGTACAAGTCCATGTTGCTGGTGCTGAGGATTCATGTTGTTGCCAGCTTAAAACAAATGATGGCTAGGAAAAAAAAGTTTTTAGAACTTGCAATCTGATGGCCACCCGTTTAAAATACAGTATTTTGATGTTATGGCCTGTCAAAATACAAAAAGGCATAAAACATGATGCATATGTAATCAAACTGTGGTGTTTAATTTAAATAACAAATTGTTTCGCTCCAGTTTAAATTTGCATTTAATTTTCAGTTTTCATAATAAACTTAAAAATTTATTTACTGTTTGTATACAGTAAATAAAAAAAATTATAAAATTTATGAAAAGGTGGATATTTCCTTTTCTGTTTGATACATTTATGTTTTAGGCCTGTGCAGAAATTTAACTTAAATTATAAAGCCTGGTATTTAATGCCTCTTTCCTTTGGTAAATCACAGCACTATATGTATCCTTACAAATGGCTATAACTATGTTTCAGTATACGATAAATTTTGGATTTAAAGCAGAGTTGGAGAATTGTATGAATGTTTGTTTTATTCATCTATGGTTGTGGGCATAGGTCTACATAATACAAGACATGCATGACAAGTTTATTGAACCAGAATGGACCCCATTGGAAATAAATTTTTTAACTTTATGGGTTATCCATGGCATCCTATTTTTATTCCTTTATTCCTGAACTGTGTCTTTTTAATGATTTCTTTCTGTATTGTATTTTTATATGATGTAAATTGAATTGAATTGAAATGCTGAATAAAACAAAACAAAATGCTCTACTGTGTGTCTTAACACATAATTTTAAAAATGGTGCCTTGCACCTCGATGGCCACTATCATGGCCACCCCCTTTCATAAATCCTACACCTCCCACCGATTAAGAATTATTAACCTCTTATTTTTACCATATGCTGTTGTTTTATTGAGACTATGCACATTAACATTTTTATACAACTTTAAAAGTTAAATTTCATCAGGTTTGTACTCTTGTGGTAAAATATAACTACGGTAAGTATCAAAATGCTACTGATTAAGGATTATTAATCTCTTATATAAATCATACCGTATGCTGTTGTTTTATGGTGAGACCCAGGTTGTAAGCATATTAATATTTTTATATAATTTTAATGCAGAATGTTAAATTGCATCGTGTTGGTATTCTTGCGGTAAAATGTAACTAAGTACAAAGCAAAGAAAAAATAATAATAATAAAGTATGATGTAATATACTTTGTATTACCTTCATCACTAAGCCCAGCAGAGTTTGCAGATATGCTTGGGAATCCTGTGAATTAAAATTGAGAACAAATAATATCATGTAAACATGTTTTTGATGGTTTACTATAGTGATATCTTTATTTAGCTACCTCACAAGCAATACCACTTTAAAGAACTTAACTGGAGGTTTTTTTAATGTATTTTGTGAGGTTATTAGAATGCTAAGTATATTCAAATTCAGAGAAGGTACATGAGCACTGTTCACTATAAGCTTAATTTTTTTTATAACTATAGCTTACCACTTCAATATTGATAAAGATAGCAGGAGCTATCAAAATATATGTTTTGTTATATTCTAATAAAATTGTTTTATTGAATATTTTGATTATGGTGA